GGATACATTTGTAAAGAGTACTTTGGTAACGGTTATGGTAGAACCAATTATCCTGCTAGAGAAGACAGCTAAGCTATGCTATTTATCATAGCTACAGAGCACACAGTATAGGTTTTACGGTCAGTAGGCTAGTTTGTGTATGAACTGCTGAATCATGCTCTTGTCTCTGGTTTATCTTAATTCTTTGGAGGTGTGTACATGTTCATGTACTCAGTGAGGGCAGTATAACTAGAAAATGTGCTTTTTTTTTTTCTTTATTAGATTATATTTGTTAAATATAATCCTAATTTCTAATCTTCAGTTAGGAAGCCTCAGTCCTGCATCTTTTCTGGTTGCAGAATCAGTCACTCCATCTTGCTATGGAATCAACCAGTGTAGTAGCTACCACTGTTGCCAGTCTTATGTCTTGACAATAACCTAAATTTATGAGTTTAGACTTAAGGGTAGACCTGCTCTCTGTTTCCTCAGGTTGTACATGGCTTCTGGTGACATTCGGACAAATGGCGATAAATATGTATATGAAATTCAACTTTCTGGTATAAGAAACTCAAGTATCTCAGAATGCTCTGGAGCAAATATCTGCCAGGTTAAAACTAATGAACATCGCTTTCGGAGAATTGGTTCTACTACAAAAGCTAGATATTATGTTGAAGGTAAGTATTTGCTTATTAACCAGAATTGCTTGATGTTCCATATGAATTGCTTCATCAGAAATGGTTTTTGTTGCATGATATCTGTGCTAATCCATTTCTGTAAAGGTATTCAGAGTCTGTCTAGCAGAATTTAGGTTGCTTTTTTTTCTTACTGTGTAAGCTTAGTTGTGACCATGGCCTTAATAGGTTTTGGGCTTGACATTTGTTAAAAAACTGGAAGAAACAGTGCAAGATAGAAGACTTGGTCTCCTGTTTTCGTCTGTGCTTGTGCTGCATAAGCAATGATCTCCTTTATTTCGATACTTTTTTCTCGTAAAGAACTTAGTCTGCTGTTCCATAGCAACTGATAGGGTCAGCTATGTAAAAGTGTAGGCTCACCTGTAGATACTGCGAAGTATAAGCTGTTACTGGAGAACAAATACATAACTTCCAAGATCTGGTTTTAATAGACTGTTCTCAAGGAAGCAGTAAATGATAACATTTTCTTCTCATTGTAGATGGTGACTTGGATGTCATATTTTCATCAGACTCCAGATGCGGTAAAGATGAATCAAAGTCTGTGTCTTCAACTATTTTCTTCCACTGCAGTTTACAAGTAAAGGAAGGCATCCCTGAATTTCTTCATGAGACAGCGGATTGCCAGTATTTATTTACCTGGTACACATCTGCTGTGTGTCCATTAATGTGAGTAGTTAACCATTTTCTGAAAGCAGTTCTGTTCTTGCCTGCACTTCTTAGCTAAAGGCTTTTTTGTACATATTCATCACAGTGATGGGGGGGGGGGGAGGCTAAAAATGTAGTAGATGCATGGAGAAGTGGAATTGGTGTTCACCTACGTAATGCTTGGCACATGATCACTAAATAAAAGCTTGCCAAGTTGATCTGGACCTAAGCTGCCCGTTTGCACAGGAAATGGAGAGGCACAGTGGAATTAATATTGTTGTTTTCACTCAGTAAAATCTACTGTAGCTGACAGAATATGCTGTTTCATGTTGCTGAGAGGAGTAACCAGTTTTGGGGTAAGGTTTTTTTTGTCCTCTTGGCTTTTAAGTTTTCCAAGCAGTAAGGCAATCTGCCCACTTCTTTAGGCTGGAGTAAAAATCATTACAGGTCTTAGAGGAGCAATGAGGTATTTCTGGAATTATCAGCTTATTCTGCAGTTCCAGAAAGGAGACATGAGGTGACAGTATTAAAAGCAGAGTGACTGTATCTAGGTGCTTACCAGCAGTCTTGACCTGTAGGCAGCCTCGCTGCGAAGAATGGGGTGACTACTTCTCTATACGACTGTTCACTTCCTGGCTACTGATTTGAAAGCACAGAGAAACTGTTTATTCTGATTTACCCAGGCAAATAGCTGTTGAGGGGGTTTGGTCTGTGTAGTCAGCTGGAAGGTAAGTAATTACTGTAGCTTTTGCAGGTTGCTCAAGTGCAGGTTAGGTTCTAAAATAGCAGCTTTGTGTGGATATCTGCTGCTGTGTAAGCTCTGGAGTGCCTAATCGTGCACTTCAGTCTTGACTGTAATCAGTTTTGTACACTGTTAGAAAGCATACCGGGATGTAGGCACAGTACATACATTGTATTTTTCAGTGATTTTAATTAAAATGAAATCTTCTAAATTAATGTCTTTATAGCTGTTAGATAGGCCTGGCAGGATGGTGTGGCATATTCAATTTCTTTGAATTTGCTGTTTCTAATCCAGTTTGATGCATCTGGTCAATAGATCTTGCTCATCCTTTTCTTCCCAATTTACACTGTTAGATCAACCAATGATCCAGGAAGCAGTGAGCACCAGACTGATCAGGAGGCCCAAGTACATAAAGGCCTTTCAAGGAGAAGTCAGGCTGTTGGGGCAGTGCTGAGTGTCCTCCTGGTGGTTCTTACTGCATGCTTAATAATTTTGCTGTTCTACAAAAAAGAGAGAAGGTAAGAAATGATTGGGAGGCTTTCAAAGTTTCGTTGGTAGGATGTGGTTTCCTCAGAGAGAGAGAAGTAGTAAACTTTAGAGATTTAAGTTGTGGTGTTCAGTTGCCTGCCTCAACTGTCAAGTTGCTGTGTTTTTTTGTTTTTAATTCCCCATTAATTATTGTCTGAAGGCCCATGTAAAGAGTACTGGAATACACAATTGAATTGGGCTAGTCTTTGTTGTATACAACTGCTAATTAAGGAGGATAAAACAATGTGACAATATTGTTAGTATTTGATCTCTCATGGTGTCAAGCTGGAGCCATACAACAGCATCAAGGAGTAAGTGCAAGTCCTGCTGATTCTCTGCTTTCCAGACAAGTTTGTTTGTTTGTTTACCTTAAATGTAAAGGCTAGAGGTGTTTCAGAAGTCACCCTGAAGCTGTGGTAAGGAGGAAGATGTACATCGTCATGAACTTCATTTTGTTAGAGTGGTTCAGGGTCAAGTGTTACTGTGTAATAGCTTGCAGCTTTCTTGGTGAAATGCTTTATATTGATGGTGAAAATCCAGTGAAGAAAAGTGAGGGCTAATAAGAGGGATACAGTCTTCCTAATGCAGTATTCTTTCCTTTTCTTAGGGAAATTGTCATAAACAAGATAACAAACTGCTGCAGAAGAACATCGGCTGTTTCCTACAAATACACAAAGGTAATAATACAGTGGCAAAATAAAAGATTTTGTTACCTGTAGAGTTTTCTTAATATGAATCTTTTATTAATTCCCCTTAATTCCTAGTTCCTTTAGTGCATGGAAACCATACTGTTAGGCTTCAGGACAGCCACATAGCTGAGATATCTACATTTATATTGTGAAATGGGAAAGGCAGATTGGAGTTGAGGAAATGAAGAGCAAGTGCATAAACAGCTAAACAATGCAAAGTGTACAGGAAGAGCAAGACGGAGAGAGACATAATGAAAAGCATGCCATTGCAGTATTATCTTATGACTAAGTTAAACCTAAGACTGTGTGTGGTGTGGGTTCTGTTGACTGGGGAGATAAGTCTGTAGCAGAGTCTAGAGTGGTATACACGATCTTCTCCTGCATTGTGGGTCTTTGTTGTTTTCTTGCAGATAAACAGTGAAGAAGCTGCTAATGAGAATGAAACAGAGTGGCTTATGGAGGAAATCGCAGCACCAAATCAAAGAACAGCAAAAGGAGGGCAGGAGAATGGTCATGTTACTACCAAGTCTGTTACATCTGAAGCCTTTACTTCTCTCCATGTGGATGACCTGGACAGTGAGGATGAAGTGTTAACCATTCCAGATGTAAAGGTTCAGACAGGAAGAGGACTAGACAAGCACCCACAAAAGAAGCTGCCCAGTCTTGGCAGTGATAAAGCTTATTTGCTGAATGGGGGAAAGGAAAAGAAAGGAAAAGCCAAGCCAGGCCAGCAGCAGACACAGAACTCTACAAATACAGTATCATTTCATGATGATAGTGATGAGGACTTGTTGAATATTTAATGACCCCCTTGTGCCTAATCAGATATATATGTATAGAGAAATTATATATAACAGGACAACATTTCCAACCAAATAAGAGGACTTCAGCCTGGAAGATTTTTCTGAATTTTGCCTTTAACAAGAAACCATTGAAAAGGGAAGAAGAGAGAGATTTCTTGGTTGTTTACAATGATCTGTTCAGCAATGACTGGGCTCCCAGTTGGCTGAGTTACATTGATTCTCTCTAGCCAGGACACACATCTTTTTGTTTGTTTGTTTTTTTTTTTTTAAGCCTCAGCATAGGTGTTAAATACTTGCTTAAAAAAGAGAAACCTTTGAAAGGAAGGGATTAAGGCTGAATGAAGCCCCTGGCTCCTGAGTCTCAAGTGATCTGACTACTAGCATTTTGACTCCTTGTATTTATTGATCCTCACTACTCAGGTTTGCTTAATAGCAACATGTTCTTCCTGCCGGCAGGGTATTATTCTGTGGGTTCACCCATTGTAAGACAAGGAAAAATAGAACTTGTGTGTTGGGATGATTTGATGTAAATTTTGGGACTGGTCTAATTTATCCTGTAAGTTTGAATATCCATTCTAATTTAAACAGATCATTGGTTCAAAGGTATTGACTGAAAGGTACAACTCTGTATAGCTTTAGCCTGAAATGGTTGCTGTTGTTTGCATGATATTTTTTTGGTACTGGTCACATGACTGACTTCATCAGTATTTGCCTAAGCAGCTGATAAGCACCCAAAGATTTATTATTTCTTTTTCCTAGATTATGGCTGGACTAGGCTGACTGCACAGAGAGCCAGTTTGCAAGGACATAGAGGCAGAATTCCTATAGCGCAATCTGCACTGCCAGTTTGTAATCACTGAGAAAAGTCCAACAACTAGAGGAGCCCTAGTGGGCACAATACCTCTCTCTGGTATTAGTTAGAAGAAAAAAAGAATTAGGCCAATGTTTTCTCACCGTCTTAAGTTCTAGCTCTATGTTATGGCCCTGGCCATGGTCATTGATTTGAAACATTGCTGGCAGTGAATGCCAGTCAGCTTTGCTCAGTCTTGATCTTCTCCAGGTGTTTCCTAAATTAAATTATGGGTGGTGATAGGGTTTCAAAGCATAGTACAAGTACATGCGTTGGTCAGAATTTTTTGAGACTTTTCATTGTTCCTTTTGGCTGGCTTTCTCAGTTTCAACAATGGTTTCTTTTTATAAAAAAATCCATTTTGAATCAAAATAGTGTAATATAAAGTATTCAGCAATTTCAATAAAAGAGATGAAGTGGGTATTCCAAATCCCACATCTCAGGTCTGTAATCTTCCTTACACTAGTTTGTAATGCTGCTGCTCAGCCTGGTGATACCCTTTTTTGCTGTGATTGCTAAGATCTTAAATGCGTAACTCAAAACAAGACCTGATGTTTGGTGACAAAGATTAGAATTTATAGGTAAGTCTCAGTGGTGTAGTCTTTCTTTTATCAGACTTGGGCTTTCTTCCTCTTGTATTGTTACAGGTGAAGCTGTAAATCAGTTTGGGTATAGCTGCATCTTTTCATACCTAAACCCAAAGTTATTTTTCATATTTAGCATTAGGTTAACTTGGGGAACTGAGAGGCTTGACAGTATATTTTTAATGCTGTCAGTTACCACTGCAGCATTTCTCTTAATATTGAAGAATGCTGCTTCCCTTCCCCAAGTCTTCAAGGCTGGTGTCTTAGAGTTGTTTGCTCCATGAACTGCTGCACTATGTGACTTCCCATGTATTAAGGCATAGCACCGCAAAGTCTCTTCATCGTAACTGTGTCTATCAAGGCTTAGGTAGAATGGAGGTACTCTGCCTCCTTATCCAAAGAATGACATATTTCTTGTGTCAGTGATGTATTTTCTAATATGCAGTTGACAGTAGTGAGTGGCCTTGCCTAGTCTTTGAACTATTGTCCACATTTTATCTAGGCATTTATAGATATGCCGGCTGAATTGTGTCTTGTTCAGAGCTGGATGTGTGACTTGCTTCACTGAACTATTTTTCCAGTAGAATACCCTGCTTAACCATAGAGAGGAAAGTGAGAATAGTGGAGACCAGATGACTGTGTACAAATGACTGGGATAGGAGCAGAAACCCTGCCAGTCAACAGCATGGCTCTCTGTAAGTGAGCCTTTAAGACACCAGCCTGCATGGCACAGTGCCACCCAACCCCTGTCTGGACTGCACACAGGGGAGACTGGGGAAAAAAGGGCCAGTCTGGATCTAACTGTTTTAGTTCATCTGGAACTTATGCATGCCATTACCAGCTGTTTAAACAAAAACAGTAGGAAACAAGTGATGTGAGACTTTGGGGTGTGTTTAAGGTGCACCCTATTGGCTTTCAGTGTCACCCGCTTCCCAAGCGGGCTTTGATTTCAGTTTCCTTGGCCTCAGCTGACCACACACATCCTGCTGATGAGGGAGGCTGTGGGGACATGCTGTTAGTGTTGTGGGTGCTGTGCACCTGTGTGTACCTGTCCCTCTCCCCTGCAGCCACAGAGGTGAAAGTCTGGTCTGGGGTGGTGCTGTGGTGTGGTGTAACAGGAGGAGAGTTCTTGTTGCCTTGCTGTAGCTATTCCTGGTGGAGAAGAGGGGGCACATCTGCATGATGCAGGGGAAGATCTCAGATTGCTGCTCTGCAAAGCAGCTTTCACAGCTGGTTAGGCCACTGTTGCTCTATGGCTGATCGGCACTTGGATGAGGTTGAAGAGCTGGTGGTTTCTGTCCCCAGGCCAGAATGGCCTTCTAAATTGGTTTCTTTTTTGGAGTGTATTGAGATGTTAAAAAGATTTATTTATTTATTTCATTGTTGCCTAAACCTTTCAAGTTGCTTTTCAGACCCTTTTTTACTCTTTTCCCATCTTCAAAATGTTGCCTTCATGTTTTTCTTTTATAGAAGCAGCTGCTGTCAGCAAAAGATGTTGGAGTAGCTGGTGTCTATCCATAGGCAGCACTAAGCACCACTGGAGCCTGATATAACTGGATTTATTTTGGGTACCCCAAAAGCTATTCCTAGTGCCTAATTCTGTACAGAATGCTTTTCATCAGTGGAAAAATATGGTTGAGGGAAAACTGGGTTCCCTGATATAGGGGGGGAGAGTTTTTCCTTGGAAACTGAGGAGTGTGGAGAGTAAGGGCTGAGACCCACATGATACTGAAGTTTGCAGAAAGGTTTTCCTTTACTGTCACATGGCTCAAACCAAACACTTGCATTTCACAGTGTACTTACCTGTTCTTTATAGAGCCTGGTTAATAAGCCTTGCTCACATGTGGTGCGCAGCAGCTGCTACATTAAACTTGTATATTGCTGGTATGTTGGAGTTTTCCATCTGTGCTTGCTCCTTAAAATGCCTCTTACTGGGGGAGCTGCTTTGCCTAATAAAAAACCCCAACCTGAAGTGCTGTGGCTGTTTAGGGGCTTTTCTAGAGGAAAAGAACATATATGCACTCTGATTAGGGGTTAAATGCAAATTCTCCTGGGTGAATTAAGGTCTGATTTCAAATGAAACCTAAAAAATAAAGCTTGCAACATGTAGTTTAATAATTTATGGAGTTACTCTTGACTTTTGGTCAAATGTCTTTGTTACTTAAACAGCTTTGCTGCCAACTAAATTTATCAGTGCTGCAGAGAGGACCTAGATGAGTTTTGGTTTTCTTTTTGATGTGGTTTTGATGCTAAAATGCCAAACCTTGATGACATTTTAGAGCATGTTGGAGAATTTGACAAGTTCCAGAAGCAAACCTTCTTTGTCCTGTGTTTGCTTTCCGCTGCCTTCCCCCCGGTCTATGTGGGTGTTGTCTTCTTCGGGTTCATCCCTGAGCACCGCTGCTTCAGCCCCGGTGTCGCAGAGCTGAGCCAGCGCTGTGGCTGGAGCCTGGAGGAGCAGCTCAATCACACAGTGCCTGAGTGGGGTGGCCACGGAGACAGTTTCAGCAGCCGCTGCAGGAGGTATGAGGTGGACTGGAACTCAACAGGTGTCAGCTGCACCGACCCCCTCGGCAGCCTTGGGGGCAACTGGAGCACCTTCCCTCTCGGGCCCTGCCGCCATGGCTGGGTCTACGACTCCCCAGGGACCTCTCTTGTGACGGAGGTAAAACCAAACACCTTTCCCCTGTCCCCTCTATTACAGATAAGCCGAGGGATGTGGGAGAGGGTTGGTGTAGCCTTGGCTTGTTAAAAGGCTCCTGCTTACCTGGATGAGGGATCCTCTCTCACTGTGAACTTGCGCTTTGTGCTTTGCAACTGTCTTTCCTCTGTCCTCACTGTGAAGCGTTAACCTTGGCTGCTCAGGAGGCTTATATCTCCTGCTGGGGAGCACAGCGTATTTCAGCAAATAAACCCTCAGGCAGATAAAGTCCAGTTCTGAATGAAACTGCTGTCACAGGAGAGAGAGGTCCAATTGGTAGAGGTGTGTAAACAGTGCCTGTGAAGGAGCAGCAGCTTGCAGCACTGCAAACAAAACCTGCTGATCCTGCGGGCACACTGCACAGACCTCCCTCCAGATCTTCCTGCGATCCACACCCAGATGGGAAGATCTCAATGTCTTTCCTTTTTTTAAGGAACAAAGTCTTTTAAAGTTGGTTTAAAACACACTGGAATGGCACTGGGGGGGGGGGGGGGGGGGGAAGTAATAGCTTCCCGAAATGAAGTAGCTTAAGACAGGAATAAACTGTAGAAAAGCTGATGGCTGGTTTGTGTTATCAGAAGATGTGTGAATAAACTGAAAATGGTATTTCAGCTACGTAAAGCACCCAACCCCCTGAAGTACTCTGAAAATAAATCAGTATCTGGGATGAAAAATTTGATTGTGTAATAGAAAGTTCCACCAAATTTTTAGGGGTGGTGGAAGTCAGGGTTCTTTCACCCATGTATCTAACACAGACACAGGAGCAGGTAAATTCTGTGCTATAGCAGCTTCAGTATTTGCAGCTTTGTAAGAGGCTGGAGCTACATTTTTGCTGTTGTACTGTAAGTGTACTTCTTTCAGCCAAGTATGGACTGGGTGATACTAAAGAGGAGGCTGGACACCTCAAACAGAAGGTGACTCAGGACTTACACAAAGCGCCAGGTATATCTTGCTGCAAAATGCTTGTGCAGACGCTGTGTGTGATCCAGCTGCCCCCACCAAAAATCTTCTGAGATTATGGGAAGCTGAAAACTTGCAGTCCGTGTGGATTTGTGTTCTCACATCAGTTGTCTTCCCTTTTCTTCTGAAGGGGTGCAAGGTCACTCCTGTGGGTTGTCTCCTCCACAGGATAGCCAGGAACGTCACATGCCTCTGCATTTTGGCAGTGTGTTTTTGGTTATAACTGCCTCTGTAAAGGCTCTCAGACTCTGTTATATTGTCCCTTTCTGTGACACGTAAGCAGCAGAAAGGATCAGGCAGAGTAAAACATGTTACTTTGCCTGAAGCTAAAATTTTACACGTGGAAGAATGTCCTCATGGGAAGACCCACAGAGCATCAGGGGGAACATTTGGTTTTATGTTGGTGCATAGCTTTAAATGAACCCAGCTACCAGCAGATTGGGAAAGGATTCTCAGTCATGTTAGGACAGTTTTTTGAAGTGACTTATGACTTATTCTTTAAGTAGCTTTTATGTGTATCAACAGCTGAGATACGAGAATTAAGGCTAGATGGCAAATACATGTGGGTATCCATGTGGTATAAAGCTTGGCTCTGGATACAAAATACCTGGTCTCCAGACATGTTAGATTGTAGAAAACCTTGTTGAGCAGGTTGAGCAGCAGGCCAGAGCAGAGACAAAATGATCTGGCCTCGGGCAGATGCAGATCCCTCCTCCCACCCTCCTTCTGGGAGGCAGTGAGTGCTCCAGGGGAAGTGGGACAAGGCAAGCTTCTGCAAGCGTCTAGGGTACTTTCTGTGGAGTCCTGAAGGGTCTGCAGGGACTGCTGTCATTTATGAGGGTATGAGGCAACCAGAACTGCTGAGGAAGGTTCACAGTCACCTACAAAAAAAGCTGTTTGAAAAGCCCAGGGTGATCATCAGGTCCATGCTGGTTTGATCAACAAGGTCTACCTAGCACAAGTTAGGGTCCTGATCCTGACAGGTAATAATAATTCACTTATGCTCTTTCCAGTAATGAGAGATGAGGCACAAATGGAACATACCACTAACTGCTGAAGGGTTCGATCCTGTTTTAAATGTTGGACATGTATCTAAGTCTGATATCTGGGTGCCGATAAAATGGGCTTTGACCCAGAAACAAGTTTAAATCTTTAACTGAAGATGACCCATGGATGTGAGCCAGCTCTTCATTTCACTCTCTTGCTTCTAACTGTGGTTGCTCCTTCAGTTTAACCTGGTGTGTGAGGACTCCTGGAAGCTGGACCTCTTTCAGTCTGCTGTGAATGCTGGGTTTTTTATTGGCTCCATGAGCATTGGCTACATAGCAGACAGGTATGTGTGGGCTGGCAGCAAAACCCCCTGACCTCCCTTATCAGCAGCATTCAGCAGCTAGGCGTAGGTGAAGGCAGAGAAAACTTGTGCAACTGCTGTCCTCTCTGCTCCTCTCAAAACAAGGCAAACTGCCTGGCGTTCAGTCACAGCATGAAAAACAAATAACACTGCCTCTTAGGTCATACATGGTGGTTTGCATGGATCTCGTGGCTGGAGAGTCCTGCAGAGCCTGCAGGACTACTTTGGGATAACACCCCCCAAACTCCCTACCATGCCACATCAGAGCCATGGGCTGTTAACTGAAGGCAGGAAACACTTGTTTGGAGCCCACAGTTGATCTGTCACACTCTGTGTGGCTGCAGCTTAAAAACAGCTTGCTTTCTTTGGACAGACTTCGAAATAGCAGACACAGATAGGTACAGCAGCATCTGTTTAAATCTGTACAGTTTAAAAGCAGAAATCCCCCCGTCCTGGCGTCTTTAGCTCCCTCTTCTGAGACGGCAGAGACAGCTGCCGCAGCCCAGGCAGATGGTGTTAAAAAGAAACAAATGACAGAGTCTGATGGCCAATTTTCCACCTTACTCCACTCCTGCCTAGACTGTTAGTACAGCAGGCTCCGAGTTGCTCCAGCTGTGGAATGCAGCCCACTGCAGGCATCAACACCCATACATACTAGATTATTTTGGAGATGAAGAGTGTGGTATAAAAATCTGTTAAATCTGTGGTATGCAGACATCTAATCATAATATTAACCCATACTTATTTTTCACCTCCATAATATAAAAAAACAAACGGATTACTAATCTGCCTGTTCTAAAAGTCAGGGATAACAGTCACAGTCCAAATATATGTAAATATGGGACTATTGTACTTAAGGATTTTTCTCTTTCCTGAAAGCCTTTGCGGAACTTTGTGGAATTAGCACAGTAACCTTTCAGGGAATAGAAAAGCAGATAAGTGAGTAGTAGGTTAAGAATAAACATCCAGTATGTATTTACCCCTTGTATAGGGATTTATTTATTGGATTTTTAAAGATGCACAGAGCTTTTACTAGTTTAAAACTAGTGGTTTGCTTTACACATATTATCTTCCGATACAGGTTTGGCCGTAAATTTTGCCTCATAACTACAGTTCTTGCAAATGCTGTCTTTGGAATACTTCTGGTCTTTGTGCCCACCTACCTGTGGATAGTCATCATTCGTTTTTTCCAAGGGCTGGTCAGTAAGGGCTGCTGGACCACTGGCTACATCCTGGGTAAGTTCAGACCTTTTCCCAGGAGCAAGGCTGCCTGCAGAAGAAGAAAACCCCTAACCTCTCCCCCCCCCAAAAAACAAAACCAAAGAAACACCAACACAATCCTGAACAAAGCCTTTTTTAAATGCCTCCCATGCTCTTTTAGCAAAGAGTTTTCTCCCTCTTTGACTTCTTAGAATTGTTTCAAGCCTGCTCCAGCTCAGTCACCCATGGAGTGATGACAGAGGAGGCCATCAAAGAAGCAGGCAGATGATGGGGAAAATTGGAGGCATTTTTATGACATAAAGAGCATTAAAGGGCAAACAGAGGCTTCACAGCCTAAAAATAACCGAAGAACACCATGTACTTGCTGAGAACAAGACAAGCTGTTTGGGTGTCCGTGCACTTGTCTGAGTGGAGGCCAACCCTGGGGATTGCAAATTAATGTGAGGAGCCAGGTTGTACTGATGCTTCTCCCAGTGGCTTAATACTGATAGCAGTTGATGGTGAAGCATGGGTTGAGGGCAGCTCAGGACCACTTCCTGGTGGAGCTGCCTGGGACTTCTCTGACTTCTCTGGTGTGGAATTCAGACTCTTGTCAAAAATAGCCCAAGCCAAGCGATCACCAAAACAGCAAATTAAATTCTTGGAATGCTGCCTAATAGAGCCTTCTCTGGATTAGCTCTGAGTGATCCTGTTCACTGTGGTAAGAATGTAAAGGTCAACACTGTAAAAGTCCATTAGGTCTTCCAGCAGGGACATCTTGCAAATGCAGTTATCCAGCTGTCTGGTCTAAATAAAACAAAAACGTCTAGCCCACAATGCAGATCGTCTCCTGCCAAGACACGATTGTTCCTTCCTGTGCATATTCTAGGTGCTTCCTGGGCCTCTTAAGTCTTTTTTTCCTGGCACAAATGAAATCTTCATCACCTCTTCTGGGGAACTTTATGCCATTTTAGAGTACAAAATCCCTTTCAGGACAATGACTGTCCTTATCCTGATGTTTTCCCTGAGTTACACCTTGTTACTTCTATATTTTTCCTTGAAACTCTCTCATGAGAGGTGTCACCCAGAATCATCCCCAGAACCCTTTTAAACTTGAATCCTTTCCCTAAGGATAAGCCAATACTGAATGCCCAGGGAACGGTACAAGGACAGAGCAACCTTGTTACTGCACTCTCCTGCGACTCTGGTCCAGATGCAAAACTTTGAGTATGCTTGTGCCTGCCTACTTTGAGCCCTGTATCAGTCAGAATTAACCAATGGGTCTACCCTGTGATGTTCAGCTGCAAAGTGCAGATGCCATCCTGTGGTACAGGCATATCTTACATACTTGCAGTGTAATGCAGGCTGAAAGGCTGCATTTCAAAACCAAAATAATCGGTCTTATTGTGTTGGAGACATTATGTAGGATAGTGTTAGACAAAATCTATCTGTACGCTTTGATACATGTTCAATTTACTCAGAGATTTCCATGGCAGAGGTCAGTACTGGATGCTGGTGTAAGAGCAGGAGCAGTGTTTTCTCCTCTGTTGGTGTTTGGGTGACAGAAAAGCAAACCTGCCTCTGTAAGCACCAGGGGATTTTGTCCAGAGGCTTTATGCCAGGAAGCTCAGGATTACCAACACAGCTTCTTCAGGGCATTAATGCAGCATTGGTCTTCCAATGTCCCTGCAGAACAAGTTACTCCTGTGCTGAGCATTCATTCACCTGTGTCTGTGCATGTTTGCAGCAACGGAAGTCGTTGGTCCGAAGTACCGGAGGACGGTGGGCATCCTCTACCAGATGGCCTTCTCCATTGGGCTCCTGGTCTTTGATGCCATTGCTTATGCCATCTCTCAC